CCAAGAGAGACCGTAAAAGAATAGAGTGGATACGACTGGTAATAGATGTCATCGCCCAAATCAAATCCCTCAAATGGCAATGGGCAGGATACCTGGCAAGAAGGCCGGACAACAGATGGACCACAAAAATTACAGCAAGATACCCACGAGGAATTAAGAGACCTAGAAGAGGACCAAACCTGAGATGGGACCATGATATTAGGAAATTAGCAGCGATAAGTTGGGCCCGCATAGCCAACAATAGACAACAATGGGCCCAACTACAATCTAGAATTAGAATTTAGAATAAGTGGGAGGGGGGTTAATCTCTGCGACCTTAGAGATCTATTGTGTCCCCCTTTCTTGAGTTATAACTCATCATACAGTCCCAGGACTTCCTACGGAGACCCGTGTCCCTCACAGTCGAGGAGCTACGACCCAGGCCGGGTAGACGAAACGGTAGCTTGTGTCGCCTGTTGGGTTTAGAGGTAGTAGGTAGGCTCCCGACCCTTGGAGGAGGTGGTAGCTTGTATGCCTCTTGCGGAGGATGGTCTCACGTAAGTGTCAGCCACCTCTCCTGTAGTTCCCTTTGGGTTTGGCCCCTTGGAACTTTCATTGTTACTGTTCCCAGTGTCGCTAGGGGGTTTCCCCACAGCTTCACCGGTGATGTTTTTATTACTATTATTACCAGATTTCATAGTGTTCCCATGAGTCGCTAGAGACAGTCGGTCCACTTCTACAGAGCCCCGCATTTAGAAGTAAAGGGTAAAATACAATGGGGTGCCCCCCGATGCCCCAAGGTTGAGACTGTCCGTAGCCCCGCCCGGTATCGTTATATGTCTTGGTGCAATTCCCTGGCCACGACACTACAGTCAGGGACAAGACGATGAGTGAGATGCTTCTTAGACCAAGCCAAGTGCTAGGGGGGATTCCCCCCAGCACCTGACCAGGAACTTCCCCACGAACGACAAGGTCTTGCATCTCCTAGGGAAAGAACTACAATCTAAGAGAGCATCTAAATATGTGAAGGAGGCTACACCATAATTGGATATGGTTGGTTAAGCTGAAAATGAAGATAATGATGAATTAAATACATAAACACCTCAATGTCCATGTCCATACAATGCACTGTTGTTGGTAGACCCACTACAGCTTACAGCTTTGACAGTCTTTCTGATTGTGCTTTCCATTAACTGTTTTGCCTCTCTCTGCCCTAGTGAATTTCTCCACTTATTATAGAGATTTGTTGGCCCTTAAACACTTTGTTTACATATTTTTACTAAGTATATTATTGGAAAATGTTAAGTATTCAACTGGGGACGCTCTGTATATATTTATTTTAAGTAGTCATCCTTTTAGACGGTGTCATCATCTGGATATATAGATTTTTAAGTGTGTTTTCCATTATCTGTGCATGTTTAATATTTATACGGTCGTTAGTAATACGCTAATTAATATGCAATATGTGTGTTTAACCACTTTTAGCGCGCCTGTTTATCGAACGAGTTGTTAAACTTATCGATTTGGAGTTTGCCAATTTCATAACCTCTTAAAATAGGTAATGGTTGCACAAGGTGTTTTAGATATTGTATCGTAATGTTTGTTTATTTTTTATTGCATATACGGTATCATCTATCACGCGTCTTTTATTTAATTTTTTAATTTTGTTGCCAAAAATTAAAGATTTTTTTTAATTGAAAAAAACAGAATTTGTTTTATTATATTTCTTTGGAGACTTTGTTTCGAGGTATTCAATTTAATTGCCTTTGGGGTATTGAAAACGTTTATGTAAGAAAACGTACCATGTATCGTTATCATCGTCATTTTCAGCTTATTCAACCATTTTCAATTATGGTGTAGCCTCCCTCACATACTTAGAAACTCTCTTTGTAGTTGGACCCATTGTTGTCTATTGTTGGCTGTTTTTCCTAATATCATGGTCCCATCTCAGGTTCGGTCTTCTTCTTCTTCTTCTTCGGGTTCCATCTCCTAATGGAGGTTGGAATGATTTGGCAATGGCAATTCTAACTTTGTTAACGGCTGCTCTGAAAGCTGGTTTGAAGTCATTCCAAACCATTCTCTCAAATTCTTGAGCCATGATGTTCTTCTTCTTCCTTGGCTCCTTCTGCCCTTTATCTTTCCTTCTATTATGTTCTGCAGCAGGGCATATTTAGGTCCTCTCATTATGTGTCCGAAGTACTCAAGTTTTCTCTTTTTAAGGGTGTTAATCACCTCTTCGTCCTTCTGAATTCTGCGTCGCTGTTCTACATTTGTAACTTTGTCAGTCCATGCAATCCTCAGCATACGCCGATAACACCATCTTTCGAATGCCTCAACCTTCTCCATTTTGGTTTTAAGTGTCCAAGCCTCTAAACCATAGTGTAGAGTTGCAAATATGTAACCCCTTAGCATTCTTAATCTAAGCTTTAAGTTGATGTCTCCACTGGTCTTCTTCTAGGTCTCTTAATTCCTTATGGGTACCATGCTGTAATTTTTGTGGTCCATCTGTTATCTGTCCTTCTTGCCAAGTATTCTGCGCATTGCCATTTGAGGGATTTGACTCTGTGGATGACATCTATTACCTGGGTCTTTTATCGTATCCACTCTATGCTTACGGTCTCTCTTAGTTATTCCCAGCATATTTCGTTCCATGAAGCCTTGTGCGACCTGCAGTTTCCTTAGGATGTCCGTTTTAAGTGTCCAGGTTTCGCATGCATAAGCCATGACTGATAATTCGCATTGGTTGAATGTTTTCTTCTTTATATAGAGTGGCATTCTAGATTTAAATATAATTGAGTTTCTTCCATAAATACTCCATGCTAGCTTAATTCTTCTGTTGATTTCTGGCAGTACTGATCCCGAGCTGTGTATTAGTTAAACCGCTTCAGCACAAGCAGCGCCATGGGACATGAATGGAGGGTAGCTATGCGTCAACAGATATCCAAGAGATTTATCGAAGAATTAGAGATTATGGGGATTGGTTTTTTTTTGGTTGCCATTTACCAATAGACATAGACAGCTACTTCTGGCTTTATTATAAGTGTATATATCTTGTAAATTTGTAATTATTATATTTTGTCGTATGAAAGAATGAAACATTTTAATTGAATTTTGTCCGTGTTTAATGTGAATGAAAACATTTTTAAACCGCTGTATGAGGGATATGAAAGAAATAGTATTAGTTTCGAACAGTTGAAGACCTTGAACGAATTAAAGAATGTTTTTGATAAATTTTTGGAGCCGGCGCGCCGATTCAGTTAATGGCCATCGACCATTGTTCTGCGAAATTTCGAATTAATTGTTTTTAATAGAAACTTTATTGCTAACGGTATTCTGTTTTGTTTAATGAGTAATATTAAACTATGAAATAAATTTCTTTTTAAGTTATTATTGATGTGTAGTGGAGGCGCGAGTGGAGCTTAATCGATTCTTTTATATTTTAGTTTGGTAATATTTTGTAACATTACAATACTTAAAGATAAATTATTTAAACAATATTTAAATTTTTCATTTTTGATTTGTAATTTTTAATTATTTTGAATAGAGAGACGTTAGTATAATAATAAATATGCTGCTGAAGTAATAATGTTTTTATTCTTTTCCTGGATTATTTTTGTTAATTAGTTTTTATCTGATTCTTTTTGTAAATTTATGTTTGGTATTTTAATTTTTGAATTAATATTTTTTATGTGTTCATTGTTTTTTTGACTGATATCATTTATAATTTTTTTAGGATTTATTGATATTTTTTTAATTTAAATGTAGGTCTAGGTAACAAAGTGAAAAACTTTGTTAATTTAGCATGAAGTTTTGAATATTTAATATTCTAAAACTGCATTTTTGATTTCTCGGAATAAAAAAAATGGACCCATCAGAAATAAAAAAACAAAGAAGAAATGATAAGATTTCGAAACAGAAAATCTAATATCAACTTGTAGAACAAGTTGCAATGGGAATGTGAAATATCTTTTCAATGTGCGAATTATTATGTATGAGATCCCATATATAGGGTTAATCTTAAATAAGTGCAAATATTTTTATGGGCGGCACATTTCGACCTTAGAACCACCTCTCTGAGTCTTTTTTTTCGTGAAAAATAATTAGTAGGTACTTTTAATTTTTTGAAAAATTTTTGAAAAATTTTCAAAATTTCAGTAAAGGTAGTAGATTTTTTTTTCAAATTTTAAGCAAAAATATATTTTTTTCTAATTTTCCAAGTAAACTAATTCAGATATTTTGGACTTATTTGGAAAACGGCAACGAAAAAGTAATTTCTTTTTCGAAATCTACCAATCCTGAATACAAATATATCTACCGTAATTTAAAACTGAGCTTATACAGGGTGAGTCTTAACTAAGTGGAATTATTTTTAGGGCTGGTAGATCTCGATAAAAGAAATATATTTTCTCTTTACTTTATTTTAAATAAGTCAAAAATAACCGAGTTGAAAATTTCCAATAAAAAAAAATTTTGAGAACCACTTGATCTTTTCTGGATTTTCTTTCTTATAAATTTAATCTAGTCCCTGTTGCCATATTATCTAGAAGTTATGTTTTTTAACTAAAAACTAAAAAAAATTCCAAAGAGTTTTTCAAAAAATTCCAAATCTTCAAAAAAAATTTTCACGAAAAAACCCTCATAATCGTGTTTCTGGGGTCGAAATATACTACCCCTAAAAATATTTGCACTAATTTAAGATTCACTCTGTATATTATTTTGAGACATACTATATAGCATTTTTTTATTTTTGATTACCTAATACTTTTTTTTTTAATTTGCTTTGTTTCTGACAACATTTTTGTGGCATATTTTATAATTTTGCTTTATTATTTTTCAGTCAACGTAAATAAAATCGATCCCGAAAACAATGTTTTACACCTCTCGTCGCTTTATACCGAAACATAGTTTAAAAAAAGGACCGCAATACAAAAATTATACGAATAGAAGACTAATAAATCCATCGAATGCTATTTTTTCAGTAAATGTTTATTTTTGTTACTGATACCATTTTTAACACTTACGTTATCTGGGACGAAGCTTTGGTTATCCATTCTGCTACAACTTCGTTTTTTTTATCAAATCAAAGAAGATAAAAACAGCCGATCCCAAATTATTTTTTTACAGTTTCTCCCCTTGTTTTTTCCTGTCGAAAAATATTCAATTCGAACCTCAGATATCATCCACAACACACCACTCTCAAATTACGCGCGCGCGCGGTCCTGTACCTCTCTGCTCTGGCGGCGCTCGTGCGGCGCGAAAGCAGCTGGCGACGTTACTGAAACCGCGATGCGCGTCCCTCGCTCTTTTATAAACTATTCTAGGGTACCATTGTTGGTACCGGACGTCGTGCAGGGTCCGGAGTACCCGAGACGCGGGCGATCTGGTAAGGATCCGGGGATTTCCCGATCCGATGGACCGAAACGGTTTATTTGAACAGGATTTGTGGAGACAAATTTGGAGATAGTTAAACGGGATTTTTGTTCTGTCTAACAAGGCGCAGTTGGTCTGTATTTGCGCTGGAATGTTTAACTTCTATTTACAAGAACAAACTGGTTTTTTAGATACCATACGTTAGAAAAAAGGTGTTAAACACCGCTGGGGAATGACGATGATAATTTTAGCGAGGTCAATCCCTAGATATCTTTTACTTGATCCGTATTCTTCTTTATCTTAAATGGCACTTACTGCTAGTTGGCCTTATGAAGGTTGTATTTTATTTTTATAGTGAGAAAAAATTATGTTTAGATGATGTACTTTAAAATTCAAGAAAAAAATAATTTTTGTGTGTCTGGGAACGCTCTATCCTTTTTTAATCTTTTTTAATCAGTGTTAATTTTTGACAAGTAGTATTATGTCGATTTTTAGTAAAGACGTCTAGAGATTGTCCTCGCCAAAAGTATCATCGATTATCATTCCCCAGCCGTCTTTGACGCCGTTTTTTTTTCGATCATACGGGGTATACGTAGGGCTATCAGTAGTTTGGAGTCCCCTCAAATTCAATGAAAAGCTAGGCATAGGCATAGGCGACTATATGCCCCCGCTTCAAGGGCGCCCTTGATATTTCTAGGGCGAGCCGTTTTTGAAAGTCTTGGAAAGAAAAATCATTATTTTGGCCCAAAAAATTCTATTTCGTGCGAATTTGGACCCCCTCAAAAAAACTGGGGACACTGGCCAGACGTCGGGATTTTCGCCGTTTTTTATTGCCCTCGCCTTTTTTTTTAACAATTTGGCAACCCTTTGTTTTCGGACTAAAATAAGGTTTCCTATTGTTACGTTTTTCGTCGGTTCCGTGTGGATAGAAAGTCACAATTTATTTAAACACAATTTATTTAACACTAATTAACAAAAACAATAACGATAAAAGACTTAAAGAATTATTTACAAACTATTTATCTAGAAAGAATTTATTTTGAACTTAGCGCGTCAACTTTATCTATACCTGCCCTCTCTAGGCCCCAGCCGCAGGCTTTTATACCCACAGCTAAAGGTTTCTAGAATAGTCCATGGATCATTAGGTGCATAGAGAAGGTTTCGATTGTTCTCGTATATACTACTCCATTCCAGTGAAACTCGATTTTTCTCGAACGTCCGAATGAATCATTACGGTATTCTTTAATGCGATGTGAAGGTCATCTGAGGGCGGGACATATAGTTAGGTTAGGTCGAGTCCACACGGGTCCGCAACACTATGAAGACAAAACCCAGTAGCCTTTTACACAAACCAGATATTTTCATTATAACCATTTTTGGTTTGAGTGAGTTCCTAAAGTATCCATAAATATTCCCCTAGGAGATGCAAGACCTTGTCGTTGGTGGGGAAGCTCCTGGTCAGGTGCTGGGGGGAATCCCCTCTAGCACTTGGCTTGGTCTAAGAAGCATCTCACTCATCGTCTTGTCCCTGACTGTAGTGTCGTGGCCAGGGAATTGCACCAAGACATATAACGATACCGGGCGGGGCTACGGACAGCCTCAACCTTGGGACACCCCATTGTATTTTACCCCTTACTTCTACATGCGGGGCTCGGTAGAAGTGGACCGACTGTCCCTAGCGACTCATGGGAACACTATGAGATCTGGTAATAATAGTAATAAAAACATCACCGGTGAAGCTGTGTGGAAACCCCCTAGCAACACTGGGAACAGTAACAATGAAAGTTCCAAGGGGCCAAACCCAAAGAGAACTACAGGAGAGGTGGCTGACACTTGCGTGACACCATCCTCTGCAAGTGGCATACAAGTTACCACCTCCTCCAAGGGTCGCGAGCCTACCTCCTACTTCTAAACCCAACAGGCGACACAAGCTACCGTTTCGTCTACCCGGCCTGGGTCGTAGCTCCTCGACTGTGAGGGACACGGGTCTCCGTAGGAAGTCCTGGGACTGTATGATGAGTTATAACTCAAGAAAGGGGGACACAATAGATCTCTAGGGTCGCAGAGATTAACCCCCCTCCCACTTATTCTAATTCTAAAAATCCATAAATATATTGGATACTTTGGGAACTCACTCAAACCAAAAAAACGTTATAATGAAAATTTATTTTTATTTTCTTCAAAAAAAATCTTTTCTCTATATTCTTGCCTATAGAGATCACAATCTCGATACGGAAGTAGCTATAGTGAAAACAGCAGATAAAAATGACTCGGCATTACTTTTAAACTTACAATCTTCAACTGCATTTGTGTAGGTATGCAATGCACAAATGTAATATCGCACCTAGATCAAATAAGCAGTTATAAATCAGGATTAAAGAATGAACATAAACTGTACATACACACACCCATCTCTTGGCAAAATATTCCTTTAATATGTAAGAGGCAACAACCTCTTACTGTTATGCTTTATATGTGCCCGGTCCTTTGTTGTTGTTATTATGCAAAACGGGATTTAACGCATTGTTGAATCAGTATAGTTGATTTATGTATCATATGATTCGTGTGCATGGAAATCAAACATAATATTTTCTTTTTTCCATAGCAACTGGTAAAATTGCCTTATATCTATCAAAAATAGTAGATAAAATAGTACTTTAAACGCACGATTAATTGATAATCCTTTAACAGCGAGGATAGGTTAAAAACTTCATTTCTTCTCGCACGTTTTTAATTGCTTCCATTTTAGAAAATATTTGTATTCCTTTTCATAAGTTATTCGGGATTTAAATGGAAGTAGTTTGGATATGACGTTTGTCGCCTCAGCCTGAATATCTGTTGGTAATTTACTTATTTCGTTTAGAGCCATTTCTGGCTCCAATTCAATCAGCAATCGACACGAAAGAGAATTAAAAAATATTGACTCAAAACTGACAACTAAAGAGACAGCTTTATTTATTTGACAAATTACATAGAAACCAACGCAAACCCAGCACAATATTTTTTAAAACGTAACTCGCTATGGAAAGATATATTATTTTATACACGACGATAAAATTGCATTATCGTGTCCCGAAATTAATTTTATCGCTCGTGAATTCGGTCGACGATAAAATACCATTTTATCGTCTTGTATAAAAAATAACTATTAATTTGTTCTTATATTAAAGGAATTTATTATTTTATAACAATTTGTTTATTCTTTCTTTTGGCATCTTCAAGTTCTTATCTTTACCATCCATCACTAACTGAATAAAGACTAGTTTCATTCAGAGGTTTAAATTAGCGTAGAAGTCTTTGAATAAGAAGACTAAGGAAGGAGCATAATGCTATCCATGTATTCATGCATGGTGGGCGGAAAAAGCACCATAAAAGCACTCTAGGGTGGGGATCCTTGACAGTTCTGTTTGACGATTCATTTGACACATTTGAATTTGATTTGAAATTTTGTGGATTTGTCAGTCTTTACGGAGCTTATTTTTTGTTATTTATTATTTATTCTACATAGATAGTTGTATAAAGGTAGTAAATCTAGATGGAAATTGTGGCATCACTTAAATTAACAGTGACACTATCGCGACTTATCGAAAAAGACTCTAAAATAGTTGGTTGTGTAGCATGCGGTAGATCTCGGCAAAAATTGAGTGAAATAATGGAACAACTTTTCGCTAGTAAGTGACTATATAATATACATACGTGTAGTAAACCGATCATTTATGAAATTCACTTAAATTAACTAAATTATATATTTTTCTTGCATTTTAGCTTTTATTTATTACTTGTCAAAGATTAGATGTCGAAGAATTTAGATACGTTAATTTGACTTACCTGCTTCAGTAGCGTATCGGATGTTTGTGGTAATAAATACTTATTATAACTTATCTATTTTTATTAGAATTATATATTTTTATAACAATTTTAATAACTACCAACATTTATTCACAACATAAAATAAAACAACAAATTATTGAGTCTACCCCACGTCTACCCTACATCATAGTTTTACATTTTTTAAATAAAATTAGAACGACACTGATAAACCGGAATTTAAGTCGGCCATATTTGAGGCCTATCGCGGTGTACCTAAGATTTTTGATATGCTCCTTTCTTAGTCTTCTTATTCAAAGGTAGAAGTTTATTCCTCTAATTTGAATGTAAGCATTCAGGACATCAAAATTAGTGGTTGTAATTTTCAATTAGTAGAAAAAGAGAGGTTACAAATTTTTAACATTTTCCACTATTATATTTCAAAATTTGCAAGTAATGTCATTTTGGCCTTTGATTATCATCCGTCAAGAGAATATGGTTAGAAGTAAAAAGTTTATTGTTGTATAAGCTAATTATTAGGCTTTCTCTATGGATACAACTGACTATCGCAAGCTGATGCTAGGATATTTTTAAGACTGCTTACTGTCAACTGGTTTCGAAGAATTCTTTTTGCCATAATATGGCAACATCTAGCAACAGATAGATGATTGCTCTAAATGTGTAAATATGACATCAAGAACAAGGTATGCTAAAAACAAACAAATAAATAACCAGGATATTATACACATATACATCGTCGTTAAGGCTATAAACTTCCTTAAAAACTTGTTAATTGGATATTATGTACCTACCCATTCACAATTTATCTATTGTTATTTAATTAGCGCCGCCAGTAGGTGAGGAATTTTTCAAAAACTGAAAAAGAAGAAGAAACTTTCCGTTCAATTAAAAAATAACTATTTTTTATACTCGATAGGTTATCGAGTTATAATTTTCGAAATAAAGGCTTATGACTTTGGACATTCATAGTTTTTATAAACAAATTTAATATTCTTTTTCTCAATACTGTAGGTATTAGAACAAACAACACAGGACATGATGTGATTATTTTATTTACTTTACGGTACTTTAACTTAATAATA